GGGAGCCCGATGCGGGGCTCGATCCCAGGACCCTGGGATCATGACCTGAGCTGAAGGCAGACGCTTAACGACTGAGCCACCCAGGCGCCCCTACAGGATCATTTTGAGAGGAAGTTGTTTCCTTTCTCTGTCACTCTTCCTCATCTAATATTTTTATGGTTGCCTCTATCTGATCCCCCACAATTCCTTATTGAGAACCATATTATATTGACCATGGGGTCTTCTGCTTGTTGTGGATTTCTGCATCCAGTTACCAAGCGGACAGCCTAGCTAACGTTTTGGCTCTACGACTGTGTCTATTTCCCTGCATTTATCTTTCTATGGAGTTCCTACATGGTTTCATGCAGTAAGACTGTCCTCCAATTTTCTGCCCTATAAGGGGCATACTAGTCCTCATTACCTCACAGAAATAATTTCTGCCTGTCTCTACTGGTTTTTAGACCCAGAGCTCAGAAGACTTATAGCTTTAGTCCTATTACCCCTGCTTTATTTATCAACTTCCTTTGTGGTTCATGGAGATACGTAGCTTGTTTGCTGTGTGTGGCTAAATCCTTTAAATTTTATTTTTATCTATCATCTAATAAGGAATAGCTGGAGTGGCCCTAAAGCATGGACTTAAAATGGTATCTTGACCATGATTCTTATTTTGGTCTACTTTTAATGACTGAACTACTAATGAAATTACCTTCATTTATTCTATGAAACAGACCAACAACTATTAAACAGGAAGGTATAAGCCTTGTTCTTACTTACCTGCTCCAAGAGAAAATTATGTACATCTTCCCCTTCTGGTAAAAAGTCCTTCCAGGTGAGGTCAGCCTCCCTCCATAAGGCTCCCACTTTCTTATGGCTCTAAAACAGAGATAAGTCCAATCCATTTACTTTTACATTGTGATAAGAAGGAGGAGGAGGAGGAGGGGGGAGGGGGAGGAGGAGAGGAGAAGGCTTGCTTGAAGTTAAGAGTATAGAATTGTAAAGAATGAAAACTCAAAATTTTCCCTTGTTGATATGAAGTTAATTTCTCTGGACTCCTGGCTTTCACACCAAGATGTCTGAATGTATGCAAATGTAATGGTGAACGGCTGTGGTACAGCTGTTTAAGGTTCAATAACTTACTTTATCAGATGACTAATATGGGGAACTGTAAACTCATGTTTGGGATTTATGAATATAAGCACCTAAAAAAAGTTCAATTCACAGAGTTCATAAATTCAACAGTGTCTCTTGTCCTAGATAGTGTTATATACATCTGCTGTTAAAGCCATTCATCAAGCCTCACTGGAATCCCCCCCTCTTCATAGTAGATCACAATTATGCTAACATGAGAATGACTAAGGAGGTTGCTGCTCCTGAACCAGGAATGAGAAGTATTTCAAGGACAAGAGGAACAAGGTTGAGCCCAAGAAACAACAGAGAAGAGCTGTTGTCAGCTGGAAAACTGATGAGAAGGTACAAGTCCACTGCCTGAATAAAGTCACAGTGATAAAGGGAAATGTCAGCCTTTGAGCCGCGGCTACCAGCTATGAAACGTGTATTGATTATTTCATAGAGTAACTTGCCCAAGGCATAGCTGATAACTTACCAAAGTCAGGATTTAAACTCAGGCTGACTCCAGAATTTATGCTCTATGAGAACTTGGTTAGGAGAAATGAGAATCTGCTTTCTGTTTCTACATATAAACGTTAATAAGAATTTGAGTTTTTAATAAGGACTAAAGTGAAGTAGGTTAGGAAAGGAGGAACGAATTCTGGACCTACAAATTAGGGTTTGTTAAAAACTTTAGTGCCATCAAGCAAATAGTACTAATAACAAATAATCAACTAGAACTAGAGACCAGGCTATTTAGTACACCCATCCATGAATAACTGGTACAGTGATGTAATACAAAGGGACTTCTGTACATTCAGAGGGAGAAATGAAACAAAACATTTTTACTGATGCCTATAAAACAATGAAATCTATTATCCCAATACCTTTGGCTCTGGTTTGAATAAGTCCGAAATCACCCCAGAATTTTCATGTATGAGTTTTGTTTTGATGTTTCTCACCCCAGGTGTTGTTAACACCACTTTCTCTTAGACCTCTAATATAGCACTGATACACTCTTTTGAAAGTCTTGGTTTAGACTTATCTGTCTCCCTTTCTAGTTTATGAATTCTTTGAAGGCTTTATCTTTGTACACCGGGATCCTGGCATAGAGCTTTGCAGAGAAATATGCAGTATTTATTAAACTAAATTAAATTTAACTTTAAGACAGCAATTCACAATCCTGTAGAGTCATTTTTAATACCTGTTATTAATCAGATTACCTAGCCTGAGATCCAAAATTAAGGAAATTAATCATTTTAGGCATCTTACCTTTCTCTGAAAGCAAGGAGTTTTCACTGAAATCTATTAAAAAGTATAAATAATGTAGCCATTTTGTTTCAAGAAGATAAAATTACTAGCCACAAATACAACATATTTTGAGATTCTTTAGAATTATACCAAATCCAGTTGAGATTAGATAATTCTTTCCCAAGTTACTACTAACAGAGGAGAAATACACCTCTGTAAGACATTGAAACAGAGATCTCACTCTTCTTTTCAAATAATAAAAGGCTACAGAAATACTTGCACAGTGATACCTAAGCTATTCACAGATAACTCAAGATCAAAAATCACTGCCCTTCCTAATATGCTGTTGAGTCTGACACTCGGTTTAACACTCACCATTTGTTTGCATAGAAGGTGCAATATTTCAGAAAGCAAGACCCCAGCTCTTCCAACAGGAAGTAAAGGTTTGCTAAATTCTCTGTAAAAGACAGGAGTAGTGATTAAGTTCCTCTGAACAAACTCCCTATTCTAGAACAGTAGGCAAACAATGTGTGCCAAAAGAACAGATACTATGCAACCTAAATAATAATGGGCAAGAGAAAGCTCCAGGACATGCTCTAAGTAATGTTCAGCAGAAGTAGTTCACCCTTCAGGTTCACTTTATGCTTCATGGAGAAGCTAGAAAGGGACCTTAGAATTCCTGGGTTTTGCCTTTTTCTCTAATTGCCTCAGTGATTGGAGCAATGCAATGATCAGTCTCACTTAATCATCTATTTACATAAATACCACTTCAAGCCTAAAGGAAAGAACCTTAGTTAAGAGGGAGTTGCAAAGTTTAGTTATGAAGTATTTTTAAGAAAGGAAGCTGTTCTTTAGACTATGGATGAAACAGAAAGGGAGAATTTTTTTTCATAGTCTAAAGATCAGTATTTCCCACACTGTGTTCCATAGGATATGAATAATTATTCCTCAAGAAAAGGATTCTACAATTAAGTGAGGCAATGCTGAATTAAACAAGGCCAAAATTTTTTTTTTAATTTATATTTTATTTTTTAAAGTAAGCTCTATGCCCAATGTGGGGCTTGAGCTCATGACCGTGAGATGAAGAGTCACATACGCTATGGACTGAGACAGCCAGGCGCCCAAAGTTAAATAGTTTTTGTTGTTTTGTTTTACTACAGAATTCTCACATTCTTTAATATGCTGTGAACCTCAAACAAAAGGGACATACAGTATGTGGAGTTTGACTATACGAACAATTTTTGGGAAAATACTAATGTAAAGAAGAGTTTAGGAAAAATTAGTCTGTATAATGTAGCAACAATTTCCAACTCCTGTCCAAATCTAGGAATGCCTAAGATGCAGTTCCTTTTATTATAACCCGAGCATGTACCATGCAGATGTCAGTCTGATAAGCTATTATGTAGAAATAACTTCTCATAGCATTTGAGCAATGACAGATTAACATTAAGTTTCCAGGAGCAATAACCTTCCAGTTAAGTGATTCTGGAGCCGATTATCTACAAACACTGCTAACCTCAATGGACCACAGGGTTATCATATCCCCATGACCTCTCCACTGTGGATACAGTGTAATGTAATATTTTTATACTGAAATGTCTTTTTTTAAAATTGAAGTATAGTTGTATTAGTTTCAAGTGTACAACATAGTGATTTGACTATTATATATATTATAAAATGCTCACCATGATAAGTGTAGTTACCATCTGTCACCATACAAAGTTATTATAATATTACTGGCTATACTCCCTATGCTATACTTTTCATCCCCATGACTTATTTACTTTCTAACAGTTTGTACTTCTTAATCCCCTAAAATGAGAAGTTGTAAAGAGTCACAGGCTACATCCAAGAGCCTCCAAAGGGACCAAGGGAACAGCACTACGCTAGAGTTAGCTGGTAAGTTTGGCATCAGTTTAGCTTGCTACACACACACACACACAAAAATAAAAAGTACAACTTACATGAGAAGTTCTCTCATGGAGATTCCGCCTTCTTTTAACATGGGGGTCACCAGTTCAGCAAGGTACAACCAAATGTGGGGAATATCAATAGCCATGTCATCTGCCAATTCCAGTGTTTCTGAAAAACTGAAAAAGAACAAGAGAAAAATTCACACAAATGTAATTCAAAAGTTAAGATTAAATAAAGAGACCAAAAATCAGTCAACAAATATCTATTAAAACACCTACTATGTTAGATACTATGCTAGGCATAAAGTAACTGATAAATTCTTGTTCTTAAGAGCTTATTTTTAGGGTGAAAAATCACAGCTATTCATTTAGAAGTATAAAAACATAATTCAAGACTTTGTTAGTCCCATAGATAGCATATTAAAAGGGACAAAAACAAAAGTAAATTTGTAAATGAGACATACACATAATTAAAAGGACATACATGTAATTGTAAAGAAAGGGATGAATGAGTATTAGGGCACGGGCAGGTGTATTTGTCTTCACAGCCTTCCAGATCTCTGCACACAGAAAATGTGTGCTTTTTCACTGTAGTTCAGTTTTTAGCTAGAGTACGCCATTCTGTGTACCTATCATAGAGGTCTACACATCATTGAAAATTCTCACTTAAAAAGAGATACCACTACAAGGCAGGGTTACCTTTGTGAAGGTGCCATTTCAAAACAGTTTGTAGCTCTGTGACATTACTTAACTCTGGGCTTCCTGAATCCTTGATACCAACTTTCTGGCCTCACAGCTCATAATGATTTGACATCTACTTGCTGTACAACAGATTAACTTGACTATTCTCTCATTATGTGCACACTTTAAGCTCAGTTAATATGCCACTGATGGAACATAATCTGGCTGAACTCCATGATTTCTGGGCTAATCATCCTATAATGTCAATTCATGTTCTATGCTTAGTGGCATAGATTAAGCTATTCAATGAGCCCATGAGACAACTATAGCGGCCCAGGTCTCTCAGCAGACCTGTGGTTTTCATCTCATATTACAACTAGAAAATACCCATATTCTTGTCTTTGTTTTCTATTTCTTGATTAGTCAGTTCATCATGAGACAGTCTGCAGAACACAATCATTGGTCAAACCCATATTGCTGAACACAGGGTTTTCTTCTCTTTTTTTTTTAAGAACTTATTTATTTGACAGAGAGCGACACAGCGAGAGAGGGAACACAAGCAGGGGGAGTGGGAGAGGGAGAAGCAGGCTTCCCGCTGAGCAGGGAGCCC